GTGCTTAGACCTCTTGTGAATGTTCCTTAGCATCTTTTGGCCTGTCCTATAGAGCAACTAGTGATGTGCGCTTTTAGCAATGTGAAAAAGATCTATGTGACGGAAGGTTTAAAGTGGATTACTTAAACTTTCTTTTACATGTCTCAAGCTGGGCAGTGCACTACCCTTGCTGAATGACTTCCTTCGTGAGGCGGGCAGTCTGGGATGGGTGAGAAGTGCCTCCCTATTTATGTATGTAATGAAGAAAAATCCCCAGTGTTCCAGCTGAATTGAATTGACATACTGATTTGAGATGCAGCCAGCAGCATTTTAGAAGGGAGGTTGAGTTGCTAGAGAACTGATGGAGGTCCTCAGATATCACTGATGGGTTTTGGGCTCCTGTGTGCCTTCATTTTCCATGTTTCTTGCCTGCCTGCTCTGTGCTTACATGAGAACAGTCAGATTAAATGAACAGGAATCCCTCAGCCAACAGAGTGCATGGCACAAGTCAGAAGCCCTTAGTTGGTCTTGGAGCACTACAGATTCTTGTATTTTTGGAGGCATGCTCTGAGTCTCTAGTATCTGCTTTGTGGGCTGTGGCCAATACTGAAGTTTAATCTTGAGGATATAGCAATCTTGGGAATGTCTCAGGATAGTAGTCGGGTGATGCTGATGAGGGAGGAATATTGCTTTAAACATTAGTAGAGTTTTTTGTTTTTATGGGGGTTTTTTTGTTGGACTGTCTTGGCAAGGCAAGATGCAGACTTCCTGCAGCTCTGGCTATGGAGACACGTCCATGCTGAGACTTTTTAGACTGACTAGTCTTGTGGAACCTAGCAGCAGAATTGACCTTCTCAACAATCTACTCCTGCTAGGTCTAGTTGCTCAGGACAGAAGGGGTTTGTAAAGATGGAAATGCTAGATAGACCTCTCTGTCCTGAGGGAAATGAGATGTATACTGTTCTTTTCATCTAGAAAAAAAAAATTAAATGTTTGGGTGCCTGAAGGGGTGGGTTGTTTTAATTCTCCCCCACTGGAGGAAGCAATTCCTTTTTTCCCCAGGAGAAAAAAGTGAAGATTATGGAAAAGACAGAAGAGGCTAGACAGATGCATCTCAGCTTCTTAAATGCCAGAGAGCTGGGGAGAGAATGTGGCCTATTCAGGCAGTTGCATCTCCTTCTACTAGGTTGTAAAAAGTTAGGTTGTTTCTGCCTGCTGTTGTGCTCTTTGGCTGGGGACACTGTTCAGCTTGTGGCCTGAAAAACTTGGGGTCTCTTTTCTTCCCCTTTTTCTGACATGATCAACCATCTCTGGGTGAAGAGATGTTGAAGGGCCCTCTACTGCTCTCATCTTCTATCTGTCTGCTGCTGCTGATGAGAGTCTTAGAGGTCTTCTGTGAGGTAAGAAGTGGAATTTTTCTGGGAGGAATGGAGCAGGCTCCTGAGACTTGAAACCTCCTCAATTTTTTTTATCATGTACCAAACTTCTAATGGGATGTTTTAAGAACAAACCCAGGGGAGGCAGAGCAGGACTAGCTTGTTACTCTCTCCCAGGTATTTATGAAATGCAGTTAAACACTTGACAGTTGGCTCCTTCAATTTTGGAAGGAAGATGTGTAATGCAAAGTGTTTCTGTTGCATAGACCTAAAACCCAGGAGGATTTTGTGTTCTACATGGTTATGTTCAATACAGGTATTGATGGTGCATAACATTGGGTTTGTTTAAATATTGGCCTAGGTAAAATATGGCAGGGGGGAGGGAGGTGTTGGGTAAGGGGAATAAATGCAATACTCATTTCCAAGGACTTTCACTTGACTTCCTTTGTGATCTGCATCCTCTGCCAGATTATTAAAGGTCTGTATGTAAAACCTGCTGAGTAGTGTTTGTGGAACACAGGCATTTGGAACCAGTTTAATAAAATCAGTTGAGCCTTTCTGTTTTTCTGAGCCCACTTATGATCCAATCACCATGATGAACTGGCATTCTTTGTAACCTAATATAACTTCCAGCAGCTTTTAGAGGATCTATACTTGAGTATCAATCCAGATAGCACTGCATGAGTTGTCCAGCCTTATCCCTAGGAGCCCCTTGGCTTGGTTATTTATTTTTTTTTTTTTAAACCAAGGGTGTCCAAGATAATGGCCTGTGGACCAGATCCTGAAATGCTGCCAGTGTGTCCTGGACTGGACTTGCACATGCACCAGACTAGTCCTGCTCAGTGCACAGGACTGGGGCTGGTGCATGCTGCTTTGCTTAGCTGTTTCACTTGACCCAGGAATACATAAAATGGTTGCTATGGGCTATATGATAGATTTGAGCCTACATCTCAAATATACTGCAGACTACAAAGATCAGAGCCAGTGTGCTGTGAACAAGACTGGCTGCTTCAAGCTGAGTTCTTCACTCCCTTCTGTAGGATGGCAGTATCTTGTTCTACTTCATCTCTGTTATGTGCAAAAGAAAATAGAAGAAATTTTCTTTTCAAAAGATCTGGAAATCCCATTTAGCACCTCCTAAATGCAATTTGTTCTTTTTTTTTCTGTTGCAGTTACCTATTTCATTACATCTGCCAAGACAGGATTATATACCTCTGTATCACAGATGACGCAAGTATCTCCCTTTTTCTCCCCCCCCTTTTTTCTTCCCTCCCCCAATTCATTTTTACCCATCACATGCACTCTGTAAATTTTTGCTTTCTCTCTGTGCATATCAGCAAAAATCAATGATGGGCAAAAACCCAGATGCTGCCCTTCATAGAGGGTACTGCATGTTTACACTGACTTGAGAGCAGTGGCCCCTGTAGTTAACCCCAGAGTTCAAATACCACCCTCACTTTGATTTGGCTCTTGCTTTTTACTATAGTGTGTTGTCTCCTTGTCCAGTGGCCCCTATTTCATTTTCCTTGCTGGTTCAGATCTCTGCTTTTCTCTTAAGTGAAAAGATCCTATCTTTTGGTGAGTTTCACTTGTTTTCCGAGGTGAAAGTAGCCCTGCTAAAACTTGACTGAATTCCACTCCATCACCTGCCTTCATGCAGCTTTCCCCTGCCCTTCTTAGGTTATGCTTAAACTTTGCCCTTAACACAAAGTATAAATGAGCTGTGCAATCACTTCTCAAAAGGATGTAGAAGCATAGGCTTAAAACTTGCCTGCTCTGGCAATATTTGGAATCTGTTAATAACCAACTATTAAAAGACCAAAGCAAAACAACACATCTTGCAGTGTTCTGTGCAGTGCAGCTATTTATATCCGATAGTGGTGGTGGTTCCCTCTAATTCCCTCCCCTGCTTTCTGCCTGAATCTTTTATAGATGGACTATTGTCTAACAAGTTGTGTTGAGGAGACTTCAGGTTGTTTGTCTGGTATGAACATCTTGATTTTTTTCGTTGTTTTTTAACTCTTAGGATTTTGAACGTTCCAGAGCCTTCAATTTCCTGAATGAAACCAAGAAGAGATTTCAGACCACATATGGGTCAAGAGCACAGACAGCCCTGCCATACGCCATGAACAGCGAGTTCTCCAGTGTTTTGGCTGCACAACTAGTAAGATTCCTGGCTGACTCTTCCAGTGTTGCACTATTTCTCCATTCAGCCACTGAGGGGGAAACAGCCTAGACATTAAGGCTTCAGATGAGCCTGTAGCTAAAGGTGGACATCTCCTTTATTAAAAGGAGAAAGCAATTTCTGTGCAACTCTGACTTGCTCACCACTTTAAAGCATTTAGTTTTGTTACATGTGCCTGTAGAATTCCCTCTGCTTGAGCATTGGCATAAACATGGTGACTAGTACAGGGCACCTGAAGCCTGAATAGTAAAGGTGTGGTTCATGTGGTTTGAAGTGCAGTAGAAGAGGCCTGTAGTAGAAGCTTGTATAGCAAAACTGAGCTGGTCAGGTGAACTCTGAACAGGGATCAAAGGGAAAGGGTTTTGTCTCCGGTCTAAAAGTGCCTCTGGAGATGTCACATGCCTCCAGCTGAGAAGACATGGAATAATAGCACCCTGCTTCTAAACCCATGATGTGAATGCACGTGAGCTGTCAGGCCTATACATGGGGATTTAAGACCTGCTGATTACAATAGTAAAAAAGCTTACTGGCTCAGAATGGGAGACCTCTCATTTCAGTCCTATTAAAACTGCTGTGCCAGAGGTAGAGTGAGTATAAAGTATCTAGAAAATGGTCTACCCC